AATAATTTATCCATTTTTATATATAATTTATCTATTTTTAGTAATTATTTGTGCACATTTTATGCTGTATAATATGTATACACAAAAATTTAATGTACACATGTGCACATTGTGTATATGAATTTTATACACTGTTAGAGCTAATAAAGTAATTTATAAAAGAATTAACAATCTTATTCTTTTTTTTGTTTTAAGTCTAAAGTAAATATAATGATCAAAAGATATACAAAAAATCAAGGATATCTAAAAGTTTTTCAAATAAGATATATGTACACAATGAAATAATTCATATTTGCATGATTAAAACTATTAGAATTAAAGATTGTTATGCAGTGACTAGAAAATACTTTATATTTATCTTATATAAAAAATAGTAAAGTTGATAATGACTATTTAAAATTATAGCTCTTATAAATTCAGAATAAATATATATATTAATAGTTATTTACTAAATAAATACTAATTAAAATTTATTTTAATAAAGTAAATTTTTATAATTTTATTATAAGATTTAGTAAATCTTTTAAAGCTATTTTAAAATATTACAGAACTTTTATCTGGTTCAAAATAAATTACCTTTAACTTTGTAGATCTAATAATATATTACTTAATAAGTAAATTTGCTTTTAAAGATGGAGAATCTAATGATAATTTATTAGATTTACTTTATAGATTTATATAATCTGAAAATCTTAGAATGCAATTAGCTAATAAAATTGAATATAAAGGTAGTAAAACTAATAAAGATAATTGTATGTAACTTTAATTATTGAAAATAATATTTATAAATTATAAACAAATATTAATTTATAACAAATTTATTTAAAATTAAGATATACTAATTAATGATTAAAGAAATGAAACAGATTTAGAAGATAAATTGTTATGCTATTTTGTAATCAAATCAAGACTTATTAGAATTCTATTAAGAAGTATAAAAGGAAGGAAAAAGGAAAAGAGGAAGAAAGAGGTATAGAAAAATAATTAATAATATAAAAAATGAAAGGAGAGTAAATATAGATCTTAGATTTTAAAATTAAAGACTTATTGAAGATTTAGTTATTATCATAAATCTTTTAAAAAAGGTAAAAACTTTGATTTATTTATCTTTAAAAGAATATTAAGAAATTTAAGCTTGTTAAAATATTATCAGTAATTTTTAATTCTCAATTAAAAGCTCAAATTTGTTGGTAATGATAATATCAAGTCTCAAACAATTGAAAAATTATTTTAATAAGCAATTAAAAAAGAATCAAATTCTATAGAATTTACTGATAATCCTATTATTTGGCAAAGTATATTATTATTACTGTACTTTTTGATAATAATGATGATAATATTAATATTGATAATGTCAATGAAGTTAATCCAATAAAAAATTTTATATAAAAATTCAATAAAAATATTAAGTTTTATAACATATAATTTTTATAGAATTTCAGTATAATATATATGTTTTTTTTTAGATTAAATCCTTAAACTTAATACAGAAAAGTGAAAAAAATGTATATAAAAAATAAGGAAAAATGTATATTTTATAATGCTTTAACAGATGTAAAAATAAGAAAAAAATATATTTTTATAATATTTTAACAGATGCAAAAATCATAAAAAAAATGTATATTTTATAATACTTTAATAGATGCAAAAATAAAAAGTATATTTTATAAAATTGATTCAAATTCTATTATATTTATATTATTTTTTTTAATTCTTTTCTTTTTTCTGATTTTTGTTTCTATATTCTGAAATTTTTTTTTTTATAAGTTTAGCTAATTTATCTGATATAGTTTAATTGTTTTCTCTTTCATTATATGCTATTTAAAATATTCAATTTAAAGTTCTTTCTTATTAAACTAATATTATAGTATTCATTTATTGATTGCTAATTAAAATAATTAAAAGATATTTAAATTTTTTTCATATATTTTGCTTATTATAGTATGAAACTTTTATAATAAAAACTTAAAAAAATATTAATAAAATTTAATCTATTATTTAGATTTTAATCAAATAAAAAAAATGATTTATATTTGTAAAATAAATCAATTTATAAAAAAAAGTATTTTTTCGATTTTATAAATTATGTAAGCATTATGTAACATATATATAAGCCAATTAAAAACTAGAATTAAAAATCATATAAATAATTTATTTTATTTTGTGTATATTTTTAAATTATAATTAAAGGAACTGAATCTAATGCTTTAAGAATAATTTATTATAATTCAACCTATATGTAATTACAATATTCTTATATATTTCTTTTGCTATATTCTAATATATCTTTATATAATTTAATTTATAATAATATTTAAGTTAAAATATATAAATGATAAAAAAATCATTCTTATAAATTTGTTATTACATATTTTTTCAATTTTAATTTTTATAATTAATTTTAGATAAATTTAATTTAGTGTAACTTTATTAATATTGAAAATATTAAAATTTTATTCAAAGATTCTTAAAGCAAAGATCATGTTTATTTATTTTATGGATTAAATTTTCAATTTTATATATAATAAATTTTTTTTTTGCATTTTAAATTTGTTTTATTTATACTATAATAAAGTTTTTATTATAGAAATTTTATAATATATCATTTCTTTTTTCATATGGATGTTATTTATGAATAATTATTTGATTTTTATTTTTATATAATACTTTTTATTAATTTTATCTTTTGTTATTTTTATATAAATTATATATTCAGATTTTCTTTTCTTTTTCTTTTATCCTTACTTATTTTTTAATTCTTTTCTTCTTTTCATAATTTAAAATAATTTTTATTAAAAATAATTCTTTAAATTCTTTTTTATATTCTGTATTATAAGTAATGTTTCATATATTACTAAATTTATTATATCTTAAATATTTTTTAAATTATACTTTATCTTCTTTTTCTTTCAAATTTTGTATTAGTATTTTTCTGTTTTTCTGTTACTATGAATATTAAATATTTTATTATTATCTAATTTTAAAACTTTTCAAATTTCTTTATAGTTATTATAGATAAAGAGTAACAAGTTTCTTAATATATTTTTTTTTTCTTTATACTTCTCATATTTCTCTTTTTAATATTTTCTTATTTTATGAATTATATCAGTTTTCATTTATATTTTTTAAGTTAAAATCCTTTTAATATCATTTTTTAAGATTTAAATATATATGTATTTTAAGTTTTATTATTTTTTTCATTTCATTTTCCAAATTCATTTTAATTTCTATTAAGTTTTTGTTATATTATCCTAAAATGTAATTTGCGTTTGAATCCTAAATATTTATTATTCATATTTCAAATTCTATAAATAAATCTCAAAAAAATTCACGTAAATATACAGATCCTAATCATTAGCATAATACACTATCAAATGTAATAGAATGCTTAAAATTACTTTTGATATAGCATCTAACTTCATTTAAGTTCATTTAATTTACAAACAACTTCACCCTCCTCCTTCAAATCATTATGTACCAGATTCTATTAAAGATTTTATTAAAGAAAATATCATTTTTTACCTCAGGAAAGTTTGTTTCTAATGGAATAGATTTATCAATCAAATATATTTTTTGTGGTTAAAATACATGACTAATAATTATAAATGTAATAAAAATGCATTTATTTCAGCGAAATAAATGGCTTGAAAAATATATTTGAAGATCATATTTTTCTCAAAATCTCCGATACAAGCTATTGATTTTTATGACAGGTGTTGAGAAAATAATTGAAAAATAAAATTCATCTGTATGAATATGGGATCGATGTCATATGTAAGTTTAAATTTGTAATTAATGAATCTAATAGAGTTTACTAAAATTTTTTATTAATTTATCATTATTTTTCTTGAAAATAATGGAAATTGTAGTAGGTTAATAAAAACAGATACTATAGCAGACTTTCTAATAGAAATTAGACTTCGCAAACATGTGGAACCAGAATTGTTTTTTGACGGAAAGATTTTGCTTAAATTTCTGCTGCAGGCGTGCATAGTCAAGTATAAAAATTACAGTCAACCCTCTCTAAATGCACCTCCTCGGGACCATAGTGAAAATTTTAAAAAATGTGCATTTAAAGAGAAAATTTCTATATGAATTCTATATTCTTGGGACTGAACAAGAACGTGCATTTAGAAAAAAATATATATAGTGTGTGCATTTAGAGAAGGTTGAATGTATAATTCATTGGTTGCACATGAAAAGTTTTCTTTTATTGAAACGACATTTGTACCTATTAATGTGTATTAATGGCACGATCAACCTATAAAAACATTTCATTTCTTAAGACAACAACCGAGGGGTAATCAAATTGTATTTATAAATTTTTTATGAAGAATTTATTTATTGGAAAATCGTTTCAAAGAAATCTGAGTGGTGGGCAAAGTTATTTTATTAGGACCGACTATAAAAAAAAAAATAATAATAATAATACTATCTTTGCTAATTTATTTCTAGGATAATTTCAATAAGTTTCGCCACAAAGTATATATATATATATATATTCTTTAATTTCACATAATAAATAGCTAAAATTATGATAATTAATAATGATATTTTTTTTATTCATGAGGATCTATCTTATTAATAAAATTTTAACGCGAACATTCTTTCTATTCAGTATTATCTACTAAATAAAATTTTTTACTAAATTCAGGACAAGTCGGGCCTTCTCCAGTCGAGGACACAGTTTTAAACATAAATTTACCAGTTAGTGACTTGTCTAAAAGAACTATAAGTTTTACTTTTATCGAAGCTTTATCGTCAGCACCGAAAATACTTCTATGACTCGTTAATGAATCAATAAACTTTCCATTTTCATCATATAAGTCAAGGCCTTGTACTTCAATTATTTTCGAGCTGTCTCTTTTCCAAACTACTTCAATCTCGTCAGTCACTTTAATTTTATCATCAGCTTTAGGAGAAATGAATTGATATGCTGTGAACGGGAAAGAAGGAAAAGATTTTATTAAAAATATATACACATATTTTTTTTTTTTTTAAAAAAAAAAAAAAAAAAGACTTACAAACACAATCAGGATTTAATGGATTATCTGTATAATAAATAAAGGAAATAGGTCGAAAAGATCAATTTTAAAAGGAAAATAAAATTATTAAAAAAGATCAATTTAAAAATGAAAGAAAAGAAAAGAAAAAAAGAAAAGCTTACATCGCGGTTTGTGAATAGCTAGAGCTGTTACTTCATTGAACAATGCGAATAAAGAGAATAAAGAGAATAATAAGAGAATTGAAATAAATGAATTGAATTTGATGACGGTATTCATTTTGTAATTTTTTTTTTTTATTTGTTAGTGGAAAGTTCTTATATTTATTAAAGTTATTTCTTTTTTTGTTGGAAGGTTAACGGTGGAAAGTTCTTATATTTATAAAGTTTTCGTTTCTAATGAATAGATTATCATTCTTATTCAGCAACAAAATAAAGAAGAAATAAAGATACTATTTTCGAGTATAAAATCATCTTTTTATTTATTGTGAATAGATTGGTTGGGTTGGTTGAAGCTTAAAAGATTTACAAAATTTATAAAAAAAAAAATCATTTTCTTTTTAAATATTTGTTATGGTTCTAATAATTTTTAATACGACCGGATCTAATAATTTGTAATACGACCAGATTTAATTCTTTTTGTTATGATTCTAATAAGTTGTAATACGACAAGATTTAATTCTTTTGTTATGATTCTAATAAGTTGTAATACGACAAGATTTAATTCTTTTTGTTATGATTCTAATAATTTGTAATGCGACCAGATTTATCTATGATGACCCCGAACTAAAATATATTCGGAGAGGGATCAACAATAATTTTTGGCTAATTGGTCAAATCGGCTAACGCCTTAAATTTACAATTTTAGTATGTGTTGATATAAGCTTCTGTAATTATCTTAAAAAACATCCATATTATGATTACGGTAGATGAGACCCAAATAATTTTATCGCATAATAAGTGCGGGATCAACTCAAGAAAAGGAGCGAAGAGAATTGGTTTGCCTTAAGATATGTTTGGTTTGATATTACGAAGACCCATATATAGTCAATGAATAAACTCAAGACATGAGCATTATATTATTATATTCTGATATAAATCTTGCCATGTTTGAAGTTAGAGTGATGTGAAAATAGATCATAGAAAATAAAATTATAGAACAGTGAAAAAATTTGCGTTTTTTATTTAAGTTAAAAGTTAAAAAACAAACAATTTTGGAAATAACTTTCGGAACTGGCACACTTCCAGAATAGCAACTAGCTCACATAGGAGGACATGAGAGCAGACAAATATGTCACACTATGTCATGCCCACTTTGCCAAGTACAACATTAAGAGATTTTTCTGCGGAAGCAAAATTTAATCCTTGCTGATGTAGTCCAGTTGTTATCAGCGAAGCCTCTGCCATTTTTGAAAAAATATTTTGAGTCTTTTGGAATTGTTTGAAGCAATAGGTTAGTAATGTAATCATACGAATCCAACGCTAAACATCCTTTTGTGAGATGGACTATAAATAGACCATATGTCATATTCGGATGAGACAATCACACAGTTACAGTTCAATAAACAACCTATTATATAATGCGACCTAAAACTCCATTTGTTGAAAACTTTGCTTAATTAAGTTAATCACTTAATGTAAATACATATAATAGGTGTTCCTTAATTTCTATGAACGCGAGAATGGGACTGAGCGATATCATTTGCTTTGTTGCATATAAAATGGAGGGTAACCTATAATCGCATAAAAATTGCATCATACAAATTTATAAAGCAGTAACATAACAAACCAAAAATTACCTTGACATTTTTCATTTCAACGTAAAACTTCTATATACATGCAAGTGTTCTTACAGAATTGGGCAATACAGTTATACATATCTACAAATGTTTGTCCCTTTTGCAATCCATTACAATGACCTGATATGTCCAGCCCTTGAAGCAAAATAATATAAAGAATTAATAACGAATGAAGGTTGGTTGTGTCAACTATCTCGTACCCCATGACTGGAACTCTGAGAATATATATTTTATGCAAATCTTCATCTGGGGAGTTTGCATTAGATTTAAAAAATGCATGGAAGATGTCCCTCATAGTTATGGATAAGTCAAGTGAGTTCAAAAAAATTTTTTTACGATGTAGTTCCACTTCGGAGGCCTGTATTCGCTTCTAATTTATCTATACTGTGCTTTAATGTTCCCTGAAAGTCACATTTTTGCACCCGAGCACGGAGTGTTATTTAACGACCTTCGTTACGTCGTTGAGCCGATGCCCAGGAACAGATCTTCCCCTAAAGAAATACGTGTATGTTATATGAAAAGATTGGTAAATGAAAATTCATCACCTGTTATAATTTCTTCAACTTACGAGTCCATTTTCAGTTCGGTCTGTCGAGAAATCTTCTTGTGAGCATGTTTGTAAGCAACTCCGAAATCGGTAGATTAACATCACAGCTTCAAAAGTCACGGGACGGACGATCATTTTGCAGATCGATAAAAAAAACCGGTAAACTCGGTATAGAATTTTTTGAAGAAAAAACATAATGCTTTGTAGAATTAACTAAAATGAAAACTAAGAGCTAGAAATATATAAAGTTGATTATATAAAATAATTAAATATTAAATTAGTTGAGGTTGCAAAAAATAAACAAAAATAAAGAATGGAACAGAATTCAAAAAATTAGAATAAAGGTTAAAAAATAAAAAAATGGAGCAGAATTTAAAAAATTAGAACAGAGGTTGAAAAATTAAAAATGGAACTCCACTCTATTTTTTTTTTTTTTTTATTTCTGTTCTAATTTTTTAAACTTAATTTCAATTTTTTTTTATTTTTTTAACTTCTGTTCTAATTATTTGAATTTTTAACTTCTGTTCTAATTTTTTGAATTTGCTTTATTTTTGTTATTTTTCAACCTTTATGAATTTTCTACTTTTATTTTTTTAGTTTTTAACCTATATTTTAATTTTTGAATTCCACTTCATTTTTTAATTTTTTCAATCTCTGTTTATTATTTTTTGAATTTTAAATTTTTATTTTTTAATCTTTATTCTAATTTTTTTAAACTCTGCTCCATTTTTTTTATTAATTACAATATAAATTTTAAAATATTTTAAGAAAATTTAATATTGGTTAATTTTAATTATTTAAATTTAATTTTATATAACTAAGATATTAAATTTGTATATCTAAAGTTATTTTTTAACTAAAATGTAAGTTTACATAATATTACTATATAATAAAAGATGTATAAAATTATTAATAAATATACAGTATGTCAATCATTTATGAATTTATTAGTATCATTTAGAGTTCTATTAAAACTATGAATATTCTCACTTTTCTTGATCCAATTTCTTAACATATTTCTTTATAAGTATTCTAATAATAAATATTACTTTTTTTATGAATGATATCAAAAAGTTCATTTTTCATTTAAATTATTTGAGTTTCTAGTATTTCAAAATTGATTTCTATAAATTAATCTTTAAATAGTTCAGTTCAATCTGAATTATAGATCAATTTAAAATTGAATTAAAAATTTCAGTTTTATTCAGTCTAAATTTTTAATTTTAAAAAGTGTCAATCTGAAATAGAACTAAATTATAAACTAATAAATATCTGAATTAAACTAAAATTTTAGATTAATCTAAAATTTTAAATGGTTTATTTCAAATAAATGATAATATTAAAAAATTATAGAATGGTAGTCAAATTATAGATATTAGATTATAGAGTGATATTCAGATAATAGGTAATAAACAAATTATAATATGGTAATCATATTATAGAGTGATAAGAAAATTATATAGTGATAATCAAAATATATAATAGTATTATAATCTATCTTAAATGATATATCACTATATAATATAATTATATTATATAGTAATATACCATTAATGATAATAATATTATTTTAAACAAAAATAAAAGAATTAATTATTTAGAATAGTAATAATATTATTCTAAATAAATAATAAGAAAATTGATCATTTATAATGATAATAATATTGTTTTAAATAAATAATAAAAAATTATTTATTTAGAATAATTTAATTAATATAGTCTGAATATCATCTTTTAACCTATCTTTTCTTTTTATTTATTATCTCTTTTATATTCTAGTAATTTATTTAAGTCTTTCTTACTATTTGTACTTTTATATTAATATAATTTTTGTTATTACTCTTTAATTTAAATGATACCACTTTATAATCTAATTATTTTTTTTTCTTTTTATTTTAAAATCATTTACAATTTAATTTTTATATTAAAAATGCTGATCTTTTATACCTATTTAGGCATCAGCTTCTATGTTAAGGGTGTCAATCTTCTATATATGATTAGGTGTTTAATTTACTGTTAAGGGTGTTAATCCTCTGTATTTATTTGAATACTTAATTCTATATTGAGAATGTTAACCCTTTACACCTATTTAGATACTAAGTTCTAATATATAACTTCAATTTTTATAAAAATATATAGAAATATAGATCCATCTAAAATCATTAGTAATTAATAGGTATTATACCATTTAATGGTAACTATATTTCTGCTATTTTATTTAGCTTTTTTCAGTAATACTACTTACTAGCTTAATATATTTTTATTTTAAAAAAAAATTCAAATTTTTATTAGATCAATTTCTAAGTCAAAACTTATTATAAAAGAAAGTATTTTTTTTTTGATTTATCTTGTTTTTGTATATCTTTCTTAGGTGTCTTAGCCACCTTAGTAAAAATAAAATTCTAGAAAAAAAATAGTAATTTGTTTATGTAATATATGTATAAGATATGCATTATATATATATATATTATATGTATGAAATATGTTAGTATATCTATAAAAAAAAATGTAAAAATGTAAAAATGTAAAAATGTAAAGAAATTTGAATTTTTCTAGATCAACTAAGACCTCTAAAGCAGATCAATCAAAAAAATATTTTAGCAATCTAATAAGATTAATTTATTATTTTGCTTTTACCTTTAAAAGTTATAAAATTCCTAGAGCAGATTTTTCTAAGGTATCTAGCTTCTTTCTATAATAATATATTTTTGAATGATAGTTGTTTACATATAAATTACATATCTTATGTATTAATACAGTAGGTTTCTTATACTATTTGCAAAGACTTTGTTAATACCTTTTCTAATAGAGTTTGTATTTTTCTTATCAATTACAAACTCGTTCATATACGTTTCTTTATTAAAAAGATATTGGCAAGCAAATTTACTTTTATTGGATTTCTATAATTATTATTTAAATTTTTCTAGAATAATATATCCTAAATTTAGAATATAGTATTATATAGCATTAATATTAGTATTGAGTATTATCCAAGTAAATCTGAGCTTAATTTTGAATAGTATCTAGGGTATTATATTTAAAGAAAGATACTACATAAAAATATATTACATAAAGGGAATACAATAAAAGAGGAATACTAATTATAATTTATGATAATCATTAATCATCTTTTTTACTTTGAATTTTAAATTTTAATGTTTTAAAATAAAATTCATACTATGTTAGATAATATAAATAATATAAATTTTATAAATAATGTAATCAAAGTTCTATTTATTTTAATTTTTTCAATTTTAACTTTTTGTTCTTAGTTTTTTTATCCTTATAATCATAATATGAATTGCTTTTTCTTTATTATTTTACTATAAAATAATATAAGTTTACATGCAAATAAAATACCAACTATGCAAGAGTATTTGAAAATTTACAAAGAGTATAGAATATAAGAGAGAAACTTGCTATTATTATGTATCATGAAAAGGGATATAGTAAAAATGAAATAGCAGCCAAATTTAATATTGAGACTAAATAAGTTTATGATTGGTTATCTAAGAAAGAACAATTTATAAAGTTGCAACCTAGTTTAAAATGTTTAAATAAAGGCAACCTATAAAATATCCTGCTTTAGAAATAGCTTTAATTGAGTAGATAAAAGAAAGAAAAAGTAATTAGCAAGCAGTTTTTCAAAATATGATTCAAATAACAGAAGAAATTTTTTACATCTAAAAAGTTCAAATTTATATATGTTTTGAATATTATTCAAAGCTAATTCCTTCTAATTAATATTATAATTGTGATAAGGTAAAAAATTTATTTGTTAAAAAGTATAATAATTGATTTTTTTGATATTAATATTCATTTTTTTTTTTTAAAAAAAAAAAAAGATTGATGATTTTGATACTTTTAATTTTCTTGAAGATTCTATAGATAAATCTTAAGTTGCACTTAAATATCTTATTGATCATATTAATGCTATTAATATTTTGGAGATTTAGAAGGTTAAACATTTAGTAATTAATACAACATCAACCAATTATGTGGCATTGTGTCAAAACTATTCACATATTTATACATATTTACTTTTAATTAGTGAAGGTCTTGTTTGTCATCATTTTTTCAAATAATGTTAAGAATACAAAAAGCAAAATTTTCTATAGCTTTGGTAAAGGATCGATGGTATAAAAATTATGCTAATATTCAAAACATCAATACTTTATATGATTCTTCTGGAATATATGATCAGAGTGTGATTAAAAATTCATCTATAACTTCTATACATGAGTTTCGAAATTTTAGACAAGATTTCTCAAATCAAGATTCTGAGATTGAGCATACAATTGAAAAACGAAAAATTTATGATAAATGTGCTGCACTAGGATGAAAATTAGCATTATTAACAGCTGAATTTCATTGCTACTACTTTACAAGGTTTAATTCAATAAGAGAAGCAATCTAATATTAATTTGACAAGCAATCAAATACAAAATATGGCACTGAACCCACTGCAAGTAAATTCAAAAGGAAGACTTTCTAAAAGACTCAAATCATGTACAGAAAATAGTTCAAAAGGTTTCAAGAATAAGAATCGTTCTGGAGATAGTTATACATGCCGAAAGATGGACATAATGCAAGAAGTTGCACCGTGTAAAAATGCAAAGGAAATGATCATACTTATTTACATTGTTCAAACAAGGAAAACATATCTGCTTAAAAATATTTTACTTAGATAACATTGTTATTTATATTATTAATAAATTAATAAATATATATTAATTGCGTACTTGTGTGCTGCGCCACTTTATATACTACGCCACTTTGGGATGGTGTTTAAGAAAATCATCGGGGATGGTGATTAGAAAAGTTCTATATTAAAATGGAATTTCAAGTTATTAAAAATAATTTACAATTTTTTTTACGTTTGAATTTCAAATTTTTTTTTTATTTCTTCAAAAAAGTATAGTAATACGTATTGAATGTAATTCTAATTGCTATTATTTGCAAGTCTTATTATAATCTGGGGAAGAATCTTTTCTACTTTTCGTTTATCCGAAGGTGATCCAAAAAAAAATATTGCATTATGATGAATGACTAAATTAAGAAATTTCATGCATTACAAATGAAAAAAGCTATTACAAGTATCGAACTTTTTGATCCTAGTTTCGAATTGTTGATATCGTAATTATTGAATGTAAATCTAATTGCTATTGTTTGCAAGTTTTATTATAATCTGGGGCAGAATCTTTTCTACTTTTCGTTTATCCGAAGGTGATCCAAAAAAAAATATTGCATTATGATGAATGACTAAATTAAG